TACAAATGTGAGTGTGGTGGTCTGAAAGAAAATAGCCCCCAAAGGGATGGATTGGCACTACTAGGAGGTGTGGCCTTGTTGGAGTAGGTGTGGTCTTGTTAGAGGAAGTATATCACTGTGGAGGCGGGCTTTGAGGTCTCATTTACATTCAAGCCACGCCCAGTGAGGCCAGCCACTTCCTGTTGTCTTCTGATCAAGATGTAGCCAGCAGCTTGTCTGCCTGAATGCCGCTGTGCCCACTGCCATTCTCCCAGCCATGATGATAATGGACTAAGCGTCTGAACTGTAAACGAGCCCCCACAATTCAATGTTTTTCCTTTGTAGAAGTTGCTGAGGTCATGGTGTCTCTTCACAGCAATAGACACCCTACCTAAGACAATGGTTTTGTTCAGAGTGAGTTAACTTCCTGCTATTTCTCTAACGACGTCCCGCGTTGATCCTAGAGGGGAGGGCTGGGAGAGGGTGGGCGTGCCTTGGCCATGAATCACAAGATCGGCAATCGCCCAAGTGCATTTTACTAACGGTCTCGATCATGAATCCCGTTGGTCGCTGTTCGGGAAGATCACTGGTCCATTTTGTCAATGCAGTTCAGATAAGTGGTCTTCATGATTTTCTAACCTCTTTGCCCCATCCTTTCTTTCTCTTACTGTTCAGCATCTGGAGAAATTTCTACATGATCTCTCTATAGTGTGCCTAGAAGAAAGAAAAAAATTCTTGGTGTTTAAATTCAAAACAACACCCTCTCTCATGCTAAGGATCAAATCCAGGGCCTTGTGGTGGGCTGTGCCCTCTGCTCTTGAGCTCCAGCCCAGCCCAAGTTCAATGACTTAAATCTTTAGCATATTCAGTTCACTTTCATGGGCAAGATAGTTCAACCATTTTTTTTTCTGTTATTGTAAACGTTTGTTCTAAAATTAAAAGCGTGGGTCTGAAGAGATGGCTCAGCAGTTAAGAGCACTGGCTGCTCTTGCTAAGGACCTCAGTTCAGTCCCCGGCACCCACAGGAGTCTGTGACTCCATTTCCAGGGGATCCTTCTACCTTCCAGGAGCAGGAAGCATGAAAGTGGTGTGTGTGTGTGTGTGTGTGTGTGTGTGTGTGTGTGTGTGTATATATATATATATATATATATATATATATATATATATATATATATATGCAAGACACACAGAAAACAAACAAACAAAAATACATCTTTTCCTTTTCTTTTTTCTTTTCTTTCCTTTTCTTTTCTTTTCTTTTTTCTTTTTTTCTTTTTTCTTTTTTTTTGAGACAGGATTGATTTCTCTGTGTAACAGCCCTGGCTGTCCTAGAACTTGCTCTGTAAATCAGAATGGCCTCAAACTCACAGAGATCTGACTGCCTCCCCAGTGCTGGGATTAAAGGCACATGCTATACATGCTATCACTGCCTGACATATAAATAAATCTTTAAAAAACAAAATTAAGAGCAAAAGAAAAAGAGAACCTTAGAGGCCAAGTCAGGGGCCAACAAACTACAACTAGGAGGGTTAAAGTTTTGTAAAATAAAGTTTTATTGAAACACAGCTATGTCCATGTGGTTCTGTGCGTCTGTGACTGCTTTGCACTTAGAACAAGCAGAGTTGAATTGCAAGAAACTGATCTGCACAGACTAAAATATTTGCTGTTGGCCTCTTTCAGTACTTTTTCTGACTCTTGCTAGTTAAGTTCTAGAGAGGAAGAAGGGGGGGAGAGAGGCTCTCTCCCCACAAAAGGAGGTAAGCTTGGTCTGCAGAGAAAAAGGTTGGTGTTGAATTTAAGAGCCTATGACTAGAGCTTAGAGCATCCTGGGCCCTGGAGAACAGGCAGAGCGCGGAGTTGGAACAGAAATCAGGGATCTCAAGGTAGACCTTCTGGTAGACCATTATCTTTAATTCTGGTTCTTCTAGGTGTTGTGAAGAAGTCATTACTATTTTGTGAGCTTGTGTGCACCTATGTGTGTTGACATCATAATGCTGCTGGTCCTAGAAAGGGGGGGTGGGAAGAAAGGAAGGGATGGGTGTACACTGGACATTCATCATGTGTGGGTATGCAGGAGGTGTCCACGTGAGTGTGGCCACCAGAGCTTGACATCTGCTGTTTTCTTTGATCTCAGTGGCTCTCAACCTCTTCTTTTTAAAGTTGGTGCCCGCTAGTGGCTGACAGACTGGCTGACCAGCTAGCCCTCCCAAGAGTCTTCTCCCTGTTTCCCTGACTTCTGTTCTAGGGCTAAGGGTGCATGGGCGACCACTACGCTCAGCCTTTTTACATGGGTGTTGGGGGTCTGAACTCAGGTCCTTGTGCTTACACACCAGGTACTTTACCAACGGATCCATCTCCCCAGCCCAGAGTCCTTGTGGATGGAAGAGACAGCCTGTTTTCCATCAGATAATTGCTGCTGCTTGGGAACGAAGTTCCGCTGTTCTGAGATACAAGGTGACAGCGGTTTAGGACAATGACTGGAGGTCTTCCGCTGCCTTTTCGGAGTCTGCACCAGGACACTGTAGAAGATGACAGCAAATGCCTGATCACTCTGTGCCTTCAGTCTTGAAGGGGAGCGAGGCAGGTTCCATGTTGCCGGTTGCTCCTCAAGTGACTGGCATGTCTGTGTGGAGTTAAGCGGGAGCGTGACCCAAAGTAAAAGAGACAGATGTCAAATAAAGACAAGGATGGCATCTTCCCTGCGTTTAGGTACCTGAGGACATAAGTGAGGAGTCAGCGCTTTTCAGTGAAGGCAGTTCCTAAGTGCCTGTTATGCAATCGGTGGGAAGAGAAACAGTCTCTGAACTCCGGCAAAGACAAAGGATGTCACGTGGCTCAGATGCCCCATCCTCGATGCCAGGATAATTTTTTGGAGCCCTATTTCAGAACTTAAGCAGAAAGAGAAGACAGATCTTTGGCTAAGTGGTTCCCAAAAAGTGTTAAGGGGACTGCTGAGAGGGTGACAGCTATCTGATGGCAAACCGGGTCTCTGGGCTGCTGCTTCGGGAATTCTGCCTAGGACAGGATCCCAGTGCTGGGGGGCTCCTGCTGCGTGATGAACATTCTGCCTCTGTGCTGTCCAGCCACCAGCTACACACAGACCATAACTATGTAGCCCTTGAAGGATCGTTCACACAGCCTGAATTCTCACTTTCCTTTTTAATGTACAGGAAGCTTTTTTCAGAGACCTTGCAGAATGCTCGCCTTTGGCTTGCTAGAGCATTGTGAGTCTGGAGAGGCAAAATGTTACAGATTGTGAGTCAAAATCCCCTTGGGCTATTTAAACCCATAAAGAGCCATCTACCTTAACTTTTATATTTGACCCAATGAGCATGCTTGTGCTGGGTAAAATTTATGGAAACACAGAAACTTAGGAGACCACCTCTGGGCTCCAGCGACACTAGAGCAAAAAATGCCACATCCGAAACCTAAGGCTTTAGCTTTTCTGCGACCCTGAAGCTCCCGCCAATATAACTGGTGAATATCTTGATCTGACTTTTTGATGTTGTTCTGCGGCTACAAAAGGTCATGCAGTCTTTTCTATTGTGGGATGTGTTATTGCAAGGTAACCTGGATCTCTCATCAGGCCATGATCTCTTACATTAAGCTAGGAATAAACTTTCCCTTTTTCTCCCCTTTAAAGTAGAATTTGTAATTTCACATGGATACATCTGATACCTTTTAATTTATAAGTTAAATAGCCCCAGGGTTGGGATACAGCTCAGTGGTAGGTAGACAGCTTGCATGAGCCCTAGGTTCTGACCCAGAGCAGGAGGGAAAGCAGAGAAGGGGGAGAAGAGGAAGGGAGAGGAGGGGAGGAGAGGGGAGAGGAGGGAAGGGGAGGGGAGGGGGGAAGTGAGGAAGCCCGCCAGCTACAGTTCCGGTGCAAGACACTAGATTGCTTTCCAGGTACCAAGTGTTCTCATACCACTTCAAAATTAAAAGGGATGACTAAAGGCCTGGCTTCGGGAACAGTGGACAGCGTCATCGTGGCCTGTTTTTGTTAAGTTCCCTCAGCATTGTCTCTGGAGAGAATTCTTGAGCGTTCTGGCAAGTTCTCAGACATAAATAACATCAGAGAGGGCGCCTCTGAAGCAAAACACAGGTTGCTTGACACGAAGATGTGGATGCCTCATGAGCTTTGATTTCATCGTTATGACTCGCCTGACGCTGCTGTGGGAAGCGGGACAAAAAAAAAAAAAAGAGTCCTGAGATGAGGAAAAGCAGAAAGAAAAGGAAACAGACAAGCCCCAAGTAAGGAGAGGAGGGTGCCGAGTTGGGGCGGGGCGGGGCAGCATCCTCGCTGCTGGCTCTTCCTGCCCAGCCCTGCGATCCCTCCCCTTCGCCGCGCTCAGCTGTATTTGGCCGCTCCATCCCTTCTTTCCTCCGGTGAAAGCCTGTAATTACAAACACCAGGTGCGGCGGCTCGCTCTCCTCTCCGGTGACTCCATCAGTCCGAGCGGTGAACGGTAATTTGCCAACCACCATCGAAGTTTCCTTTCAAAAGCAGGATGCGCTGGGTGTCATGTTACATCACTCAGAAGCCTGAGACAATAGAAGGGGAAATAGAATTTACCCCGGGAACAAAGGAGTCTGCAGCTCACTTTTCTCTAGCCCTGGCGAGGGGAGGATTGACTGCTGCCTCTGCGCCGGACAGCGCCTGCCCAGAACCTGGAAGGGAAGGGGCCGAAGCCTGGGCACCGGGTGCTGCGGCGCCCCAAGTGCCTAAGGGCGTTATTTGTTCCAAGGCCAAATTAGAGTGAAGCAACCACACAACAGGCTGTAAGTGGGCACCCCAGGACGATTGAGATGCTCTTAAAGGCAGACTTCTTAGGTTCACATCCTACTGGTCACACGCCTTCCCAAACCCTCTTCATTTACATAATGATGACGATCCCCGGGCCCCTCCCCTTCTCTCTCTCTCTCCCTCCTCTCCTATATCTGTTGTCTTTCCCCCTCCCAACCCTCCTGGCTCTTCCTCCTTTTTATTTGCCATGCTGGAGATCAGACCTACGGCCTCCTGTATACTAGATAAGCACTCTGAGCTTAGCCATATACCCAGCCCAGTCAGGTGTCCCAGTGTTATTTGGAAGATTGTAACGACAGGACTCAGTAAGTACCTGACTATGCTAGGATAGACAGACAGGTGGACTATAAATGCCAGCCTTGTGCTGGTATCTGTTTGATTGCTTTGCCTGGCTCCATGCTACCAGGCTGAGGCCAGGGAGCAAGCAGCCAGTGTGTGGCATCCGGTATCATCTTGAGTCTTTTCTGTGTCCCCCGCTTCTGGAGGTTTCAGCCCGTCTTTCCCCCTCTTCTCTGTCACCGTCTGGAGGCCTGAGGACCATCTGAACGGTCAGGATGGAAAGTCTGTGCCCTATGAATGGACATAGACAAGGAAGTAATTAGTAACTGGCTTTCACCCCAGGTGACAAAGGGATGGGCAGATGACAACTGTGACTCAAACACTGGGGACTCTAGGCTGTAAGTGTTCCGTGTGTCTCCTCTGAGTTTTCTCAGGAGTGGGCTAATGAGTGCCAGATCCCACCAGGGCTGCCACAGATCCCAAGGTGTCACGGCAAGGGAGGGTCTTGGGTCCCCTCCAGACCAATGCATTTTTTTGGTGGGGGGGGGGGTTCGAGACAGGGTTTCTCAGTGTAGTTTTGGTGCCTTTCCTGGATCTCGCTCTGTAGTCCAGGCTGGCCTCGAACTCACAGAGATCCGCCTGGCTCTGCCTCCCAAGGGCTGGGATTAAAGGTGTGCACCACCACCACCCAGCCGACCAATGCATTTTCTGAGGAGCCACTTCCGTAGGACTTGGCAGTCCTTTTCTAGAGGCTGGGCTTCCCTAGGGCCCTGTCTCACCGCCCTTCTGTGGTCCTGCTGCCTCTGAGGAGTTGGTGGGATGCCTGGCTGTTTTTCTCTTGCTCAGAAGTCAAGGACTGGAAATAGTGATGTGTGGCACCTGGGAGGGAGGGGGCCCCATGAGGGACAGTGATAAGGATTATTGGGGCCTCTTTGGGAATTTGCCTTCCCCGGGGAGTTAGGGTCCGCAGGTTCTTACCTTGAAAAGTCCAAGCATGTAATTCATGGACACAGAGGTTGAGTTTTAGAGAGTGGTTTATAGATGTATAGGTGGGAGCTTGAATGTGTGTGTGTGCGTGTGTGCGTGTGTGCGTGTGTGCGTGTGTGCGTGTGTGCGTGTGTGTGTGTGTGTGTGTGTGTGTGTGTGTGCGCGCGCGCGTGTGCGCGCGCACACGGGAACTTCCTGTGTAGCAGGAAGGGGCCCAGGAATTAGGGGACAATTGAGCTGCTAGCCTGGAGCGTACTTTGAAAGGACTTATGACAGAAACCTGGGTGAGGGGTAAGGAGGGGTGAGCTGCAGGTCCAGTTGGCCCAGCCAGGTGTCTAGGTGGCCCCTCTCAGTTTCAAGCATGAAGCTGCATACAGGCCAGGCAGAGGGTATCTTTAGGAGACAAGAAAGACACGGGAAACACAGCTCTCTTCTGCACCTCTGGCCTCTGCCAAGGGCATTCTCCAACTGCTGCTTTGGAGTCCCTGCCCTACCTTATAGCCAGAAGGTGTCTCCAGTCCTGCCCGGCCCAGCGGTCCCTCAGCCGCTTACAAAAGAATCATTCAGAGGCTTGATATTAATTATCAACTGGATGGCCTATGGCTCAAGCCTCTTGCTAGCTAGCTCTTTTAACCCATTCCTATGTATCTATAAGTTGCCACATGGCCGTGGCTTACTGGTATTTTCACATCTTGCTTCTCCTGGCGGTGGCTGGCATCTCTCTCCCCTCAACCTTTCTTCTTCCTGTCTCTCTTTAATTTCCCACCTAGCTATAACCTGACTTGCCACAGGCCAACGGCTTAATTTATCAACGAGTCAGAGCAACACATATTCACAGCGTACAGAAAGACATCCCCCAGCACTACCTGGCCAGTTTCTATGTCCTGTTCTCGTCAGGAAGACCAGACACCTTAGCTTGGATGGAGAGTGTGACACTGAGCCCACAAGACCTCCTGACCTCTGTGACAGCTGTGCACGCTGTCCATCCACTGTTTAAAGACTAATCACAATTGACTGGTTACAATTTCAGCCCAAATTCAGTCTAAGTGACACAGTTCATAGCCACATGCTGGCAAAGTCAGTAGTCCTGGCCTGTAGAGAGAGTGGCCCTGGCCCTCACTCCTCAGGGGTGGCCTGAGCATCACAGCGCTGCTTCTGTACCTCCAAAGGTGGAGAGTCCCCCCTCCCCAAAAGTTAGTTCACAGGTAATTTTTCCAGCCGTGCTCCCATGGTGTAGTCTTTTTGAGTGGAAAAGATAAAATGATGGATTCGAGCTGAAGAATCAGATGAACCTGGGGAACGGCTTCTGCTGTGGCCTGAAGTATCCCTGGCTGGTCGCTCTGACTCTCCATGATCCACAAGCAATCACGTCTGAGAATCAGGTCACCCCGTCTACACAACAGTGTGGCTCCCCATGTGAGCCTTCCACAGGCATGGAATGATGACCACGCAGGCTCTGTAGCGGTGAGGGACAGAGAACTCAGCTAGATTTCCATAGATTTCAGGGGGTCAGGAAGGATGCGGTACTGGAACTCCGAGACCACACAAATCTTCCCGCTCCCATGGGAGTCTCTGGTGTGCACCTCACATCTGCCTAAATGAAAAGTCCTTAGGGATAGCATTAGTGACTCTTTGGGATGACTAGGCCGACCCTGTGGACATCACCCCTGCCTGGTTCTCTTGTGTTTTACAAAGACAGTTGCACATCACAGCCTGACTTCCCTGAGCCCTTCTTGGCCCAGCATAACTGCATGGAGCATGAGAGCACGCCTCAGATGGGGCTGTGTCTGCCGTCTCCATAGCAACACCATTACTCAAGGAAATCTCCCTATACAGCAGGTCCTAAGTTAAGAACTGACCCATGTTTTCCCTGGGGTGGAGCTAACATTTCAATCAGCTGCCACTCCCCTACCCATTCCACATTCACTGGCCCATCTTCTCCGTACGGCATCCATGACATTTCCTGAAGAGCAGCAAACTTTATTCCCTACAGTTAGCTCTGGGGCCTGCAGAAATGGTTAAATGTTGAATAATATCTCCTACTTAAATACTGGGTATGAGATACCACACTCAAAGCCTCTATTGGTGACCCAGCTTTATTTTACATGTCCTTTTTCTCTACATCAGAAGTTGGCACCTACCCAAGTCAAAGGCACCTACCCAAAGTCAAAGGCACCTACCCAAGTCAAAGGCACCTACCCAAGTCAAAGGTACCTACCCAAGTCAAAGCAGCTACCCAAGTCAAAGCAGCTATCTCATAGTCTAACAAGGGAGCTCAGCCCAGCAAGGATTCATGATAATGGACATTGAGTAGCCAGCCAATCAGATCTCCTCTCTTGGGGAACTGGGACTAACGTAAGTTATCCATTTGTTGGTGGCAGATACTTATATTTTGTTTTGATATGTGACTTCCCCCTCTCACTGGCTTACAGTAACATAAGCTTATTTTTTCCAAACACACTATGTGTAAATTATAAACCACCAGTTGTGGCTCTGTCCATGTGCAGTTCACTCCGGGACCTAGGAAAATGGAGTGTCTCCTTCACGGAGCTGGGCCAAGTCTGTGGCCAGGGAGGGGAGAGCAGAAGCACTTGGTTAAGTTATCTTCTTGGAAGACTCAAACTCACATGGCCAGAGCAAACCTCATGGCCAGCCTGATATCCATGCATAACCCTTCCAAAGGAATGTCCCATCAAGAAGGCCATGGTATAGCTTGAATAAAATACAATAGCTAGGGTACCTGTCAGGGGAGTGTACATGTTTTAGGGTTTCTACTGCTGTGAAGAGACACCATGACTGTGGCAACTCTTATAAAGGAGAACATTTAATTGGGGCTGGCTTACAGTTCAGAGGTTCAGTCCATTATCATCATGGTGGGACATGGCGGCATGCAGGCAGACACGATGTTGGAGAGTTAGCTGAGAGTTCTACATATTTCAGGGAACAGGAAGTGGTCTGTCTCACTGGGTGTGACCTGAGCATATATGAAACCACAAAGCCCGCCTCCACAGTGACATGCTTCCTCCAACAAGGCCACGCCCACTCCAGCAAAGCCACACCTCCTAATAGTGCCACTCCCCTTGGGGGCCATTTTCTTTCAAACCACCAACAGTACACATCTGAATTTTCAAATATTACCCTTTCCATCTATTTACCCACAATCTACAGTTAGTTGTGGACTAAATTTGCCATTTAATATAGAAATTACTGAATGGCAAGATGGGACTATGGTGGGAGACATCACAGAAGCCGGGTGGAGTAGCTTCTGTTGGTTTTAATGCAGCAGCACTGTTTACCGGGAGAGAAAAGCCAGGAGGCACAACAAAACCCACTACGAGAGTTTGTTAGGAGGAGGGAGGGACAGGAAAGGATGTGATCAGGCCTGTTTGAAAGACATGTGCAGGGGCTGGAGGGATGGATCAGAGGTTAAGAGCACTGGCTTTTCTTCAGGAGGTCCTGAGTTCAATTCCCATCAACTACATGATGGCTCACAACCATCTGTAATAAGATCTAGTGCCCTCTTCTGGCCTGAAGGCATACATGCTGGCATGCGCATAGATTGCATGATCACGCTGCATGCAAATTACGCGATCATGTAATGGACTATATATTGTATATAGTTATTGTACTTTTGTATATAGTTTTTCTTTTGTTAGTTATAACCTTTTGCTTTTTTTTCTTTTTATTAAAATAGAAAAGGGGAAATGTGGTGGTATTCTAATTGTACTGAAATGTGATTTTGATTGTATGTTAATAAATAAAGTTGCCCGGTGGTCAGAGCTATTAGAGCCATAGCAAGAGTGTGGCGGTGGTGGCACACGCCTTTAATCCCAGCACTTGGTAGAAGAGCTAGGTAGATCTCTGTGTGTTCAGGGATACAGCCAGCATTGGAGACATACGCCTTTAAGACCTGGGGGGCTGTACATACAGACAGTGATGAGGCAGTGACGTGTTTGGGTTTACAACCAATGAGAAGGCAGAATGACTGGAAAATCGACTTACACACAGGAAGTAACTCTCTTTCGGGAAGCTAGGAGCTCGCAGGAGGAAGGGTAAAATTTTAGCTCTGAGCTCTGACCTCTTGGCTTTCTCTTTTACATTGGTTCTGTGTTTTTTATTTAATAAGACGGTTGGTTACATCTACATCTGTTCCTTACTTAATAAGACGGTTGGTTACATCTACATCCCAGGGCTTACATGTAGGATGTAAGGCCCTGGGATGACTAATTGTTTTGCCAGCACATACAGAGTCATGTAGCTGGGGGAGTGGCTAGTGGCCACAAATTCCAACACCTTTTACCTGTGATCCCAGTACTTGGGAGAAGGATGCTGAGTTTGAGTCAAGCCATGGCTACATAGTGAAACCTATTTCAAAAACAAAGCATCTTGGGCTGGAGAGATGGCTTAGAGAGGTGACGAGCACTGGCTGTTCTTCTAGAGGTCCTGAGTTCAATTCCCAGCAACCACAGGGTGGCTCACAACCATCTGTAATGAGATCTGGTGCCCTCTTCTGGCATGCAGGCAGA